CGTCGGCGCACATTCAGTTCTCCATTCCGCACCAGGACAGAAACAGGGCAAACACCCTGACTTTCGGGGAAGGCACTGAATGGTGCAGTTTGGTACCTAGAGCAAGGCTGTCACTCATGCTCCTTGATCATTAGGCTGGGCTCTGAAGGTGAGGAAAGTCTGCCTGGTGGAATATGCTGGCCACCGAGGAAAGGACACTTCAGCCCTAACAAACGGCCCCAATAACCCCCCACCCTGTCGTCCACCTGTAAATGCACTCTGGAAACATTAACTCGTGTGCCTCTAGAGTAGGCCCCAGACCTACGCACCATCTCAGCATATTCATGAATAACAAAAATAATCCTGATGAGGACTGCACTCCCCTCTCTCAATGAACCAAATTTTAAAATGGGCTGAAATGAAAAGACAGGAAAGAAAACCCGCATCACACTCAAGCTCTCACCAGGGTCAATGCCCTCAGTAAGACAGCTGGACTAGCAACCTGTTAATTGAAAATAGCTTCTACTTCTGTTAATAACTCTGATTATGTGCTAATTTGAAATACTCTATCATATTTAATTAACTAATTAATACTTGTCGGTGGCTGATAACTTCTTAAGTTCATTACAATGTCCTCTATTTTCAAACCAGAAGGTACTGCTACCTCTAATCAATGGAACAGGAACCTGAGTTAAAAGTTATCTTTCCACACAGAACAACAAACAAAAATCCTGTATTGATTAAGTTATTAATGGTTCTTTCCTGCTAGCGACATTGGTCTCTTCTGTTTACTTTCATACAGATTATGACCATGAAGGACATTATCTTCAAAGTCAATGTTTATGCACCTGGACCATGGGGAAAGATGGCAGAATAAATGCATGTTTATATAAGTGCTCCTGCCCTTCAACACACACATCCAAAAACTGAAAAAGAAGCTGTCCATTATGAAACTAATAAAAGCCACCACCCCATACCAAGGACTCCAGGGGGAGTGTCTGACAGATAGAACGAGGTGGGAGACTAATCAGAGGAGCATTCTCACATTTGCCAAACAGACCACAGTTGCTGGGCAGTCTGGGAGAGGTTGTCAAAGGAGTGCACCCATCATTTGTTAACCTGGAGAAACAAGGACCGGCGGCAGTCCGGAGAAGCCCAGTGCAAGCTGTGCGGGTACATTTTCACAACCAAACCTGGGAGGGGAGGGTGAGAGCTCAGGAGAGAAACAGTACCAGAAACACACAAACGCTGACCACATGTACTGCTGCCGAGTGCAAGTACAAAGACTGCACACTCCTGCTCCGGCGACACCTAGTGGAAGTGGGGAAGCTCAGGCGGATCCCTTTCCCCCAGTGAGACCCGGCCACCCCAGGGCAGAGGATCCCGCAGCACCTGCGGAAGGCACTCAGAAGACAAAATGTCCCAAGGAGCTTCGCTTCACTCCTCATTCCCCTATATCCGGCTAGCCGACTGAAACACAAAAACAACCTCCACCGTTACAAACCAGCAGTATCTAGCTTTACAGTTTAAGTGCTAAGGTGACCATTCAAACACTTTCCCCTCGAGAAAAGAGGAGTCGAGGAGGATTTCTCCGCACTCTTCTTGGGCAGCTAGAACTGGTCCCATGCAAAGACAAATAATAAGCAGAAAAACCCATCATGATACTTGTGCAACAATAAAAGAGCAAAACAACCCAGAGAAAAGGAAGGAAAGAAGCCTAAGACAACTAAGTACGCTCTGGAAACAGAATGATTTCAGAAACCACAAAAATTGTAGACAACACAGTTCAGCCTTCCAAGAAATGAAACAAGAAGTCAGAGAGGACAACATAATGAAAGAAAAAAGCTGGCAGAGCTAAGAAAAGAAAGAGATCAAAAATAAAACTGTAACAGAAGTGAAACGCACACAGTGAGCATCTAGGCCTACTATCAACACTGAGTTAGTGACACAGGAGGATCAGACCTGAGGGAAAAAATTCACAGCATCAAGAAAGACAAGGGGATGAAAGTAATCAAAGGAAAGATAATGCGAAGGCCAGCTGACACAGAACCGACACAGGGACAAAGTACTGAAGAAGAGAACAAACTGAGAAGGCATGGAGTAAGGCCCGGATGTCAACGTGTAACGCCTCATCATGGACCAGAAAAAGCCAACAGACAACTGTCAGTTCTGACACAGACTCGAACGAAGTCATGAATTTCAAGGATAAACAAGAAGCCTCAAGCACTCAGTCCAAATAAGCAGGTCATCTACAAAAGGTGAAGAACAATCCGTCTGGACTCAGGCCTCTCAGGACCACCAGACGCTAGAAGACAATAAAGTGATGCATCCACAGAATCGAGGGAAAAAGGATGTGATCCAAGAATCCGATAGGCAGCCAAGTTACTGTTCATCAGAAATGGCAACAGTGGCGTATTTGTAAATATGCAAGAAAATCCAACCAGAGCTGAAACCCAGGCCACCAAAGGCTAAAAGCAAGGACTGAATGTGGAGGCTTTGTACAAAAGGGCTGGCAGTGAACACGGAGTTAAATGAAACATAGAATTAAGTCTAAATAACTCTAGTAATTACCTACAGCTATACCCTCTAAGTTGCCTGTCTTTCTAGGTAAAAGCTGCCAAATCCATTCGATTATCTCCTCTAACTAACTACGCCAAGATGAAAACACACAAAAGAAAACCTCTCCTGAATGCAATTCTCTTGCACTATAGACACATTTTGGTTTATATCTTACCCTTGAGGGTTAATATACCTAAGAAATTCCACAAAAGTGATGATGCTGGTTACCTGGTGCACCGCAGAGAGCACAGGCCCAGGAACAATACGACCCAACTCCTCACCAAAGGAGGAGGCAAACCAAAGAACTGCTTCCGAATGCATATGAAGAGCAGACGTCACACTTGCATGGTCCACCTCACAGCACTCTGAGGATCAAACGGGATGCTTTATGTGAAGAAGGTTCTTTGGAATCTATAAGCAAGGCTATAAAATCGTCTCACTTGATTGGATGGAAAGAACCCACTACATTAAAGAGCCAAAATCAGATACTCAGAGACAAAAAAAAAAAAAAAGGAACAGACGGTTCCTGTGGATCCATCCCTACTTCTTTCCTTTCATTTCTCTACATTTCGAAGTCATTTCTCAACACTATAAACAGGAGATTCGGTATTTCCACAGCTCCTGACCTGAAATGTTTCTACTTTGGAAAGACAAATACTTTAAGAACGTAGAAAGATGTTGCCCCACCACCCAAGGTAAATGTCAGTTTTCATTTCTTGATTCATCTAGTACCTATTAAGCCCCTACGATGTGCCAGGAACTATTCCAAACAGTAGATGTAGTCCCCCAATACTAAAAATCGAGTAAATGAGAGGGAAACACAGAGGAAAGGGGAGAACTAACTGAATTTAGCTGAAAAAGGGTCAATGTCTATTTATTTTACAACCTCTATGTAGCAATTTGACCACGTGCTTTGACAACCTGAGCGAACAGCCAGAGGGATGCACGGGGTTCAGAGAAGCACGTACAGGCAACAAGCAGCAGAAACGAATGCGTGGGCTGCTAAGCTGTGAGAACCCAACATGTTCCCGCAACTCTTCTTACGGTTGCTCTGGGAGCAAAGTTCAACTCTTAATGCAGAAAGCAGACAGGAGAGCCAAGACTACTGGGGTCAGATGGAGAGGAGTGAGCCAGAAAGTCCATGAGTAGAAGGACTACCAATGAAGTCATTAAAACACTGTAAGAAACCTTTACTTTTGAAAAAGACCTGTAAAGGGAAGAATGGGATAGGATTTTCCCACCTGTTATTTTCCTTCTTCAACCCTTACATGCAGCTTGTGGGGAGGGCCTAACAATCTCCTCAACCACACGGTAGAACATTGCCAGGACAAGGCAGGAGGGGACCAGCCCTGAATTTGTGGCCTCCTTCCCACTACGGTGTTTCATACTTGAAAGTATAAAGGTGTATGTTTAGAAATGGAGGCCTAGGCAGATAATGATATACTATCTAATGTTGGTAAGAAAGCCGGGGACTTCAAATGGAAAGGGTCATTATTTTCACATCTCTTACACAAGGATCCTATGGCACAGCCCCATCCCCAAGACACAGACTCCGTCCTCAAGCCTGCAGGCTTCCATATGGACCACCCCGTCCCCCCTCTCTCAGAAGTCCATCTGTCTTTCTCTTCTCTGATGGAATCCTTCTAAGGATGGAAGAAGAGATGAGACCTTTCTAAAGATGAAGGGAATGACCACGAGCTCAGGTAACATAATGAAATGAAACAAAATCAGGCTCAGAGGAACGAAGAGAGAGGGCTGCCACTGACCCACGTGCAGCTGGTCAGAGCACAGCTCATCCCAGGGAGGCCCCCCCCGCCCCCCCGCCCAGGGGCCCCAGCGGGGAAGCCCGCCGCCACCACCATGGCACTCAAGGAGGGGAATACTTTACAAAGGACTTTTCCACCAGTGCACTCAATACTTAACTACTGGATGGAAGCATTTATATGGGCATCAAGAGAAGGCAGAGTAGATGATATGAAAAATTACAGTGAAGAGAACCACATCCTGTGGAGCAGTATAAATTGGGCCTTTAATCCAGGCTCTTGGAAGCCTTCCGTTGTTGAGGGGTCAACACAACCCCGCTTCTCTTTCCTCACCCCAAGGCCTCTGCCCAGTCTGGCTTTCAGCAAAAAAGTAAAGGAGTATGAAAATCAGATCAACGATTCTAAAACTGGCCAAAAAGTCACGAAAATGAAAATCAGGAAAACCAAGGGAATTTTTCAAAATAAACTAGAAAGACCTTTTCCCTTCAATAGCCGATTTTACAACTAGTAAAGTGCATCACACAGGGACTTCCAATTCCTCAGAAAACTACAAAGGAACAGAATATGATAAGTAGACTGGCAAAATTTCTACATAGCATAAAACGCCTCTTCCCACTTTTCACAAACTCGACAATGACCGAAAGATAGTTTTTCACTTAAGATCTTTGAAACCAAGGGGTTAAGTGAAAAATCCCAAGACAACTTTTGGAATGCTTTAATTGACAGAATGGAAGTACACAAATGAATTTTAAAATAAAATCAATGCATCAGAGAGTAAGAGCTAATGTGAAACTTGCCGCACCTCACTCCGATCAGATGGAAGAAGGCAAAAGTTGAAATCACAGAGTGAGGAAGGACGCATATGAGAGAGGAAGGGCCCCGGGACTGAATTATTCAAGACACACTCTGCTGGTGTCTTCAACTTCCAGATCACCCAGGCCTTAGTCAGTGGTTTGGAAAACCATGGTGTTTGGTCACAAAGAGCAACCGCAGAAACTGGCTGTATCTGGAATGAGGAAGGAGCTTAGACTCCTGGGGAGAATGTAGACACTCGACTCTATGACGAGGAGGAGGGAGGTATGAGGGCACCAGAGCGCTAACGAGGCTCTGTGCCGTTTTACGACAGGCGCCAACCAAACCACAGCAACATACTAGGAAAAACTGCTCGGGTTACTACTTTAGTGAAGATCTGGAGCAGCTATAGGAAGGTTTTTGTGGAGAAGGTCCAGCTCATATAGAGAAATTACACATTCAAGCACTGGAGTACTATGGTGCCTTGCTCAGAGTTGGTGGAGGAAAGGAGTTCTCTCCGGTTGACTTGTGGAAGACAATCTTTCTTCTCAGAGAGGACATGAGCATTCAGTTCTCTAGAAAGTTCTATTAGTCTTGACCTTGTCCCTACAAAGAAAATAACAGGAATATCCATAGTGAGTTTGAGTACAACCTTCTCTATTTAACCAAGATGTACTCAGAGCATTTAGTTACAGTGATAATTCAAAAAGCTTTGAGTTATCTCAGAATTATTCTCTATGGTTACTACAGAAAGAGAATTACTGGGACACCTGGGTGGCTCGGTCGGTTGAGCATCTGCTTTCGGCTCAGGTCATGATCCCAGGGTCCTGGGATCGAGCCCTGAGTTGGGCTCCCTGCTCAGCGGGGAGCCTGCTTCTCCCTCTGCCTGTTCTGCCTGCCCCTTCCCCTGTTTGTGCACGTGGTCTCTCTCTCTGACAAATAAATAAATAAAATCTTTAAAAAAATTTTTAAAAAAATTACTATTTATTACTTACACATCCTTTTTAAAAAGATTTTACTTATTTGAGAGAGAGATATAGCAAGAGAGAACACGAGTAGGGGGGAGAAGCAGAGGGAGAGGGAGAATCGGGCTCCCAGCTAAGCAGGAAGCCCAACACGGGACTTGATCCCAGGACCCCAGGATCATGACCTGAGCTGAAGGCAGATACTTAACCGACTGAGCCACTCAGGCGTCCCTTTATACATACTTCAAAACAGTTCTTTACTCTCAGTTAAAAACCTGATTAGAAATGAGGAATGATGGGCACCTGGGTGGCTCAGTTGGTTAAGCGACTGCCTTCGGCTCAGGTCATGATCCTGGAGTCCCGGGATCGAGTCCCGCATCGGGCTCCCTGCTCG